TTTTTTTTTTAATGTGGGTCAAATATGGCTCATGAAAGATGTGGCTTAGTTGAGGTTGAATTAAGGCTGATATCAGGAACCTGTTCTGGCCCAGCGTCGGGCCGGAGTAGGGTCGGATATGGTTATACAATGCGGCTCAGATCCGGGCCGAATGCGGCCCGGATCATGGATGCCGGACCCGGGCCACTGCAGGACCGTCATTCATTGCGGTATGTGGGCCGAGTGTCGTGCCGTGTCCGCGCCAGAGCTGGGCCAGACCAATTTTGCTGACTGGGCAGTTAAAAGTTAAATGACCATCATTTTTATTCTTTGGTTTTTTTTTTTTACATTATGCCCAACTCTCATTCATTGTGAAATAATCTAATTGAAACATGTATTTGGTACATATTTTGATGCATTTTTATGATTTAAAAAACACTTATGTCTGAATTTTGGGGGGCTTGGACCGGATTAGGGCATTTACATGGAAAACGCATCTTTGCTCTGTGGTGCAGCCTAAGCTTGAAGCAAGTCAAGTTAGGGGCTCCGTAACGAACAGATTTTTTTTTTTACATTATGCCCAACTCTCATTCATTGTGAAATAATCTAATTGAAACATGTATTTGGTACATATTTTGATGCATTTTTATGATTTAAAAAACACTTATGTCTGAATTTTGGGGGGCTTGGACCGGATTAGGGCATTTACATGGAAAACGCATCTTTGCTCTGTGGTGCAGCCTAAGCTTGAAGCAAGTCAAGTTAGGGGCTCCGTAACGAACAGAGACACGAGTAAGGCCAACAGTGTATGGTGGTGCCTGTCGATGTCATAGCATGTGTCGTTGTAGTGCCCAAGTAAAAAAAAAACATCTTTTGAGCCGATTCTCTTCCACACCATGAAGAGGACCTCCAACATTTTGATGGGCCTCTGTATTCTGCTGCTTCCTCACGAACAACCCACTCTGCTACCGTGGGAATCTCCACGGTTGGAATAATGAAATCACCGTTGTTTGTGAGGGTCAGCAGGTGGTAGCTCTTATCTTTTCTGGCAGATTCAGTGTCCATCCCAAGGCTGGCCCAGCAGACATCAAAGGACAGCTTCTCGACAGCTTCTCGACAGCTTCTCTGAATCTACAACAGAGAACACAAATCTGTGTTCTTTTAATAAATGGATCTTAATTAGATGGTTTATAAGGCAAAAACATATTTTTTATATGTTTTGATAAAAATGTCTCTTGATTGTAAATGTTTCCTAACCCTTGGTGGCTTTGTAAATATTTCTTCATTGATGTGCATGAGTACGGTAAAGCAAGTGACCTAACTGTTATTTCTCAATTCATTTACACAGAATGCTACCTGAAAAAAATTTGGGCTCTTATAATAACACCATCATAACCCTTCCCTTCCAAATCATAGGACACGTTTATTTGTGAGTGACATTCCGCCTGCATGCGAAAACATCATCCGGGGAAGGCTCATGCTGAAGAAGGCTCAATGGCAGGTTTCCCTTTGCTCTACTAGAAGCAGTTGAGCTAAAATGAACAGTTACATATTCATACATGTTCTTGAGAACAAAACACAATATGTGTAAACTTGCAGAAGGTGTGGCATTAAATTACATATCTAAATATTGATTTATCCAACTTTAATATATTAATTTCCTATGGCCAATGGTGCACATACCCTTTCAAGATGAACAGGTAAGTTGAAGATGTTTGGCACAGCACCAGCTGTAAGACTGACATTCTGCCGCGTTCTGTCAAAATCCTCACTTTGAAAATGTTGATTGCAAAGCAATGACTTATCGTTTGAAATGAAACCATTACTTCTTGAGGCAAATTCCTACTACCTCCCGTGCTATCTGCTTTTAAGAACCTGTGTAACAGAACGTGTATTTTACACAACGAGCATCCTAATTTTAGTGGAAGGTGATCCCACGGGTTCTTGTTTGGGGACTAACGTTCATTGGAGCAGCTGCAGCGAGCACAAAAATCAGACACTTTCAAATTATGTGGTATTGCTAACAAACTTAACACAAATTATGTGTAGCATGTTAAAACAAAAGATTAATTCTGCCTCTCCAATGCAAAGGTGCGGAGTCAACTTTGTAATCAGTTTAAGGACTTAATCAAAGCTTCTTAACAAGCAAATAAACACAACCATATGAACGTAAAAAAGTCGCTTCAACAAAAGATTAGGTGGTCGAAAAATATTATTGGTCTCAGGAAAATCTAATGATAACCGAAAATCGTGATTGTGAACTCCTCATCCTTGAGTTGCCTCGCAGCAATGATACAAAAAAGTGTAAGTTGAGGGGTTCGTTGTTTTTAGTGGATAACTCTACTTTACGAACGGCAAAAGGAGAGTTGGAATCCTTTCAAAACAAAAAGGGGGAAAAAAGACGTTTCACCACAACCCCCGAACGAACGAGAACATCCCTCTTTCCGGTAACGCAAACACTTCCAGGTTTCCTTCAGCCAATCAGACAATATCAACATAAACTTGTTTCAGCAATTATTTAACGGAATATAACCTAGGTAACTGTAACACAAAAGAATATAATGCTCAAATACAAAATGAAAAAAAAATAATTTAACATAAAGCTTACACAAGCTACAACTATTTAAACATTCAACCTGCATCATAGTCACATTACCAGTCTGTTAGTAAATCCGTCAAGAATTCGAATTATGAGTATTTAAGTAACTAAATGATCCGGCTGACCTCCGACAACCGCACGGCGAACCAGAACAGGCCCCTGTCCAAAGACAGCCGAGCAGTGACGATGCAGACGACTCCGCCTCGACCCGTCTCGTTCGGTATACAAAAAAAAAAAAAGAAGAAAGACACGAGACAGACTGAAGAGCGTCAAGTCGCGAACATGAAGTCCGTTTTCGGAGCGCTAAGGTTGACGTTGTTAACTGCAGAGCTTCTGCAAACGTTATCATACAGCAATATCAAGGTAATATGAACTTCACATTCGTTTTTATGTCACTTTTCGCACTGGCCTAATGCTTTATTTGGTCCTTTCTGCTTACAATGTTTGCCACCGACTGCCGTATTGGATGTAAAAGTAGAGCTGTTTCTGTGATCGCTTCTTTCATTTGATGCTTGGAGCTGGAGCGTCTCCGTTTTACACTCAAAGCTAGATCCCTGGTGTCATGAAGTCGAGCTAGAACCACGTTTTGTGGTTCTATTTGACTTACTGTATACTCCAACCATCGTGATACAAAACCACTAGAGGGACCCTCAACTGGTTGAGCACATGCAGAGCCTGCCTCCAACTTTAACTGGGACACCCCGGCCACTTTGTTTGGCACCGATATATTAATCATAACTTGTTCAATTATTTACCGAAATAATAATGAATTGCAATTTTAAAAATAAATAAATAAAAACCCGACAACAAAGACTCTGAAGAAGTAATACTGTAACAAACCAAGAGATGTGCTTTTTTATTTTGGGGGAATTTAACTTTTTTTTTCCTTTTGCGAGTCACCAGGCCGAATCATTCAGTCAATGGTTGGATCAAATGTTTGACTTTAACCAAGCGCTATCGGAGTTGTTGCTTCGTAATATCGGATAAATATTGCGCTCCACACCCAAACACATCGCTAAAATCACACATTTGCGCATCAATCGTTTTAAGACAGGGACAACCAATCAAACATGAATCAAGATCGTTCAAGTTGGTTTTTAAGCTTGACTGCTACGAGCCATGACTGTAATCCCTTCTTCTGAAAACCTGTCTTGGTGAACATTAAGCATGAACTCAAAATGTCATTGTGAACTTTGGTCATAAATGTGACTGATTTACCTACGTTTGAAGTGCAGTGAGTCCTTTTCCGTCAATTCCCTGACAAAGTGTGCCTAACGTCACAAAAACGAACCACACAGGCGCATACACACTACAGCTCTCTTGTTTGTTCAAATGACGTTTGCTTGCAAGCACCACAGAAATTGAGTGTTATATTGTATGCATGTTTTAGAAAAAAATTGTCCCATAACCCCCTTCATTGCACAGATACTGTATCAAATTTAGAGAACAACAATAATAAGACCAGTAAAGTACAATAATAGACAAACAGAAATAATTACAAACACATGAAAACTAAAACAGTTGAATTACATATCTGAATAGGACTGGGAAGAAGTGAAACTCGTTTACCTCCACCCCTTAGTCGTACCTTACCTCATTATTCTAACCGCCATATTAATATCATCATGGAGTAATTTACCGAATTTATTCTAATACATTATCAACCATCTTTACCTTACAACACAATGAATTGGAAAAAAGTATTTGTGTTTTTTATTTATACGACAAACATACAGTGTAACTCTAAATGAACAACCCAATGATACGTCAGCACTGTAATGAAGTAATCAAATGATCAATAATGACCTTATGATTATCACATGACCTCATTCCTGTATATATTGAAAATCTTCTCTATACCTCCTTTGAAATTGGATTATATTTGTACAGCCCGCGACCCCTGTGATGATAACCTGATTAGAAAATCGAAGGGTGGATGGATATATTTGTACGCTGTTTCAACGCCCCAACACAAACTATTTCACAGTGTTTTTCCACAAATAGAAATAAAAACTCTTTTGCGTTGTTCGTATCCTCCTCATTTTGAAATGAAATTTTCCCAAGTTGCGGTTGATTCCCCTTTCAATTAATATTTATTTATATTTCACGGCAATAAATCGTTATCTGCTTGACACAATATTTTAATTTTAACACTTTTGATCACAAGAAAAGAGGATTTGTGTGATTCCCATATCGTGCCCTATGGATGATCTTTTGTGCCGTATTTTTGAGAGTAATTAGTGGATATAATGCAGTTGTTTAATTATGACCCTCGACCTCTCGAACCGTTAGATAGAAATGGAATTAAGCATAACGGTTCATTTTTAATGTATACTGATTAAGGCGTAAAAAAAAAAGTAGTGTGTTTCCGGTAACCCGACCGACCGAGAATTTCTACGTCGAAAAAAAAACTTTACGGTCGGCATTTTTTTCAAACAACCCTCTACATTTTGTGCCCTGTCGTCTGTCAACAACATTGAAACATGGCGGCGGCCGCGACCTCCGACGACAGTTTAAACCGCGTTTTCTGTGTTACAGTCGCAAGCTCGCACCGTAATGTTAAGAAAATAGCATCCATTGATGTATCGAAAAAATTCAGCGAACTATTTGATGAACACCACGGGCCGAGTAAAAACCGAGGGCGGAGGAGTCCGGCGGCCCTGGCCCCCCGAGTCCGGAGCGGGGAGAAAACTAAATAGATGGCGGCGGCGCTGAGCGGCGGGTTCAATGTCTTCTTGTTTTATGGTTATTTTGTTTAAATTTTTGATGGAAAAAAAAAATTAAAAAAAAAACTTTGTCCGTCCTACCGACCCTATGCTGAAATTTCAGGTTACCGGAAACAACAATCTTTTTTGTTTGGCCTAATCAGTGTCTCCACTTGCTGTTTGTTTGGACTGGACATGTGACTGTTGTTTTGGTGGGTGTGCATGGATAGACAAATCTGTTCCGATTCAATATTTTCATTTTGTTTAGAACTGTATGTAATAATCCAAACCCAATATCCAGTGAATTGACAAAACAACATTTTATACTCGTTTATTGAAATTGGTGCATTACAATGAAGAACTGTATTGTGTTTTGTTAGACAGGAATACATGAATCCCAGACACAACCCCTTTTCAAAGAAAAGTATTTCACCCAGAGTCTTGACCACTTCAACTTTAATGCCATGGGGAATGGGACATTCCTTCAGCGATACCTGATCACTGGTGACTTTTGACCATTGACCTTTGTTACTTTTCAAACAACCAAGAAAGATTTGACCATAATTTCTGTTTTGCTTCCTTCCACAGATAAATACTGGAATACTGGATATGGTCCGATTTTCTTCTACACCGGCAATGAGGGGGACATCTGGGAATTTGCCCTGAACTCTGGATTTCTTACAGAATTGGCTGCTCATCAGGAAGCCTTGGTCATATTTGCTGAACATGTAAGAAATGGTACATTACTTGTGTGATGAAAACTTGGAACATCCAACCAACCTTACTTTTCCCATCCATATATGACAACAGCATGTGGTAGATTTCATCAATTTGAGGGGGGAAATCTTATTTTATGACATATATATATGACATATATCCTAAAACCACTGAATGATTTATAATATCATCCATCCATCCATTTTCTGATCTGCTAAACCTCACAAGGGTCTCGAGCATGCTGGAGCCTACCCCAGCTGACTTCGGGCTGTAGGTGGGGTACAACGTGAACTGGTTGCCAGCCAATCGCAGGGCACATATTGACATACAACCATTTGTGCTCACACTCACACCTAGGGACAATTTAGCGTGTTCAATCAGCCTACCATGCATGTTTTTGGAATGTGGGAGGAAACCGGAGTACCCGGAGAAAACCCACACAGGCACAGGGAGGACACGCAAACTCCACACAGGAAGGCCGGAGCCGGAATTGAACCCTTGCACCTCTGCACTGTGAAGCCGACACGCGAACCACTTGACCCTTACCATAGCAATTGGCTCAACACTCTCAGAGTCAGAAGAATGAAGACCATGAAGTAATTTTGTTCACATCTGCAAGGTGTTGATTGAGCACAAAGTTCTCAGATTTCTTAATTTTTGATCACAGGTCTCCTTGAGCGGGATCCATGAAAATAACTCACGACAACAGTTCAGTACTGCATTTTAACCAAATTGGACTGCGTAGCAAGATCAGAACGAGAAATACAAACCCTATTTTCATGGTTATTATTACCTTTTTGAAACAATAACATGGCTTCCTAATTCTAATGAGATATTTTATGTGTAATGCACTTTACATTTCAAAGAAATCTCAAAGTGCTACAGAGAGTTTAAGATAAGATAAGATAAGATAAGAAATCATTTATTAGTCTCGCAATGGAGAAATTCCCAATTCTCAGCAGCAAAGTTATGAAAGGAAGAAGTAGTTTAAAACCAACATTCAAAACTAAGCAACAAAGTTTTAGAAACTAAAACGTTGCAGCAAACAGTTGGCTTCAGCAAAGATGAAGAAGCTGAAAGGCTTACTGTAAGCAATTTTAAGTTTTACTGCTCCTCAGTGTTGTACACTGCTCCTCAAATCCAGGGTTTGAGTTGGTGTTCAATAATGGAAAACAACAATTTCGTGTTTGCAGAGCAGTTGTTAATTTTGTTGGAGTAGAATTTGTTACTGGATGCGGCTAGCGCCTCGTCAGAGGCTTATTGGTGATTGCTACAGGCCAGCTTGTGTACAACCAAGCCAGAAGCAACAAATCGGCGTTCAAGGGCCCGGCCAGCTCTCTTCATAGAACATAGCTCCCCGGCGGCCATTTTAGAAAAAGAGACTACGCTTGTATTCAGTGGAGCATGGGATTTGAGGATGTCACAAAGGCTTTAACTAGGCTGCTGACTATTATTGGCTGTGCAGAGCTAATTGCTGACTTTTTGGATAGCCAAATATATGGAAGAGTGATTTATTTTTTTCAGGTTTCTGAATTGAATGCAGCGCTTTGTTTTGGAGTATAGAAGGACCTGTTTTTGGTAGCTCCATGAAAGTAACTTTGTGGATGGACACACCAAGGTCATAGGCATGTGCAGTAGGTTAATTATCGCTGTCGAATATGTAACAACAAGGACAAGACTACGCCCCCTAGAGTGCGTCAGCACTACAAATTGTCGATTTAGAGCTAAACTAGCATTCCAGTTTTCAGTGTTTTTAGAAGTATAGTGAGGGCTGATTTACGGCCCCCCCAAAAAAATGTATGTAACTGCATTGAGCAAATGATTTTTACGCTGGGTAAGAATTGAAGCATAGTAGATTCACCAAAGTCATATTTGTTAATGAACAAGGGTGTTCGTGAATGGAAACAAAGTTCCATTGTATAAGATTTACGATTGTAAATACATATAAGGATAAACATTGACGATTGTGCAACCTGTCTGTTTTTTGAGCACAACAAAGAGGGAATAAAAATCACTCAAAAAAAGTCATCTTATAAAATAGTTGGTCAGGATGATGTAGGAGACTGGATTGTCTCAGAATTGTTTGTTATTTATTCCTTTGTTGTGTGTTCACCCCCCCCCCCATAGAATTTATTTTGTGATTTCCTGTCTTGATTTTCTGTTCTGGTAAATTATTTTCGATTTCCTTCGTGTCATTGAAGTTTTAGTTAATTTACGTTTTCGGAGGTGGTCCTTGAACGCCCCTCGAGCTGAACGTGAGAGCAGGCACGTAAGTTGAGAGAGATGCGCCTGTATTTGCTTGAGTGTTAAACGAATTAATAAAGTGTATGTTTTAAAAAAACCAACACGATAGTGCTCTTTATTTCGGAGCTGCAACAATAATCTTTTGGAGACATCCGACACTTAAGTCTTATGAGAGGAAAAAAATGCTCATATTAGGCACAATTATCGGCATGTTTATAACCTGCTTTTACACTGTCAAACAGTATTATTGGTGTGCCCATAGTCTACCCTTTCAAAAAAATATATACAATCCAAGGATAATTTTGTGAGATGAGCATTCTGTCGTCACTGATAATGTAGTGGTACACTAGCCTGACTTGGTTGCAGGCAGTATGGGATCGGTTTTCACTCTGTGACGTTGTCGATGTGGATGTGAAGGGTTGTTTGTCTTGATATGTGCCCTGCGACCGACTGGCGACCAGTTTGGGGTGTAGTCGCCCTTCCGCCCAAAGTCAGCTGGGATGGGCTCCAGCACCCCCGGAATGGATGGATGAATGGAGCATGTTGTCAGACCGATGGAAGGTCTGTCAGTCCATTACTGTTACCGTCAATATTTTAGGCCGAACCACGTGGGCCCAGAACGTCCCTTATCGGCGAAAGCCATTTGGCGTAGGGAATGTAATTTCAGTGTCACACACAAAAGTTAACGTGCAACCAATAAAGAAAAAAAAAATGAAACAAATATAAACAACAAACACGCACGCATGCACGCGCACACACACACACGTTGATTATTATTATTATTATTATGATTATTATTATTTGTATTTGGCTGCGTGTCAGGTGTGCAGTACCTGTAGTAGTACCGGTAAATATGCCCCAACTCAGACGGATTGGGCCCTCCTGTAGTAATGATGGCAGCTCAGTGATGGACTCACCATACTGACGATGATCATTTCATTGCCTGAATGGCTTCTGCTTCTCCCTCAGAATTGTACTGTACAACCTTGTCTTGACACATTTTTACTCTTTATGTCATCTCACGTGAATCTTTTAAGGTTGTTCTCTCTCTCACAGAGGTACTATGGCAAGTCTCTCCCTTTTGGCAATGAGTCCTTCAACATCCCTCAGATTGGCCTTTTGACAGTGGAACAGGCAATTGCAGATTATGCTGTCATGATCAGTGCATTGAAACGTCAGTTGTCAGCCGCAGATTGCCCTGTTATTGTTTTTGGTGGAAGGTAAGCGTTGCCTTACATGAATCTCCATAGATCTTGTGAGAGATTTTTTTTTTTTAAACTGACATTTAATTTTCCATCTGTGTTGAATTCTTTTAATTACAGGTCTAATCTTTTTAATTGATTACTTAAAAGATTCAATTATAGCCTGTGCTGAAATATCTGCCACCAGAAACCGAGTTTGAATCGTTTATATTTGAATTTGAATTGCTAAACTTGAATAATTGCCTCAAAAAAATTAATTTGAATGACATAAATTGGATTCTTATTGTTTCATTTCAATCATTACGTTGAAAAACGGAATCTGAATTTATTTGGAACTGAAGTCCAATAAACATTAAACTCAATGTAAAATTATCACATTTAGTTCTCTTTCTCCAAAACTGTATTTGATCCTCACTCAAAATACCAGTCTGAATTTTTTCACTTTTGGTTTATTCAAACCAAATTCAGTTCTCACAATTCAGTTTAAAATTAACGTTGGCAGTGATCCGGATCCAGATCAGGAATAGCAATCGGCAACCGAAGGCAGATACTCAGATCTCCTCTTCAGCCATTGAGCATCTTTGTTTTTGAGCATGTGACACGGGGTCTCTCTGGGAAGTCAAATCTCCCAAGCACCTTTATCTTAACCTTTGTATCGACTTTGCTGAACCTTTGTGGTATAAGTCATGTGGTCAGGCAGGAATGAAAAGCAACCTCCATATAGGAAAAGAAGGCGTATTATTAGAAACACGGAACAACAAAGTCCTGTAGTCACTGTCTCCAGTAACTGCAAGCGCAACCCTAATTTTACATGGCATTTTCTATCCTACCATTTCAGAAGCCTCAGAGTTTAATCTAACATGCGCATCTGTTTCATCATTCTCTCCAGTTACGGTGGAATGCTGTCTGTCTATATGAGAATAAAGTATCCAAATGTTGTGGCTGGAGCTCTCGCTGCCAGTGCACCTATCCTGTCAACTGCCGGGCTGGGGGACCCTAGGCAGTTTTTCAGAGATGTCACTGCTGTAAGTTGGATGGATGTTCTGTGTTATTATTATTATTTGTAACATTAGTAGTAGACGTAGTAGTATTTAGATAAAGTGAATTCACAATGACCTAACATGTTTTCCACATAATTTTATATTCATTATAGAGTAAAAATCATTGTATCCCATCTAGTGGGTAGTGGCATTGAGAAGATGATCACCTGTGAATTCCGACACAGATTTTGCTACAGAATAATGTCGTTGAATCAATGAGTCAAGGCAAAAAAACCAAAAAAAAACCCAACAACTTTCATTTTGATGCACACATGAATTGTGGACACTGGGGTCCTTGTGTGCATTTTCATCAATCCATTCCGATCCGCTTATCCTCACAAGGGTCGCGGGGGGGGTGCTGTAGCCTATCACAGCCGTCTTCGGGCAGTAGGCGCCAGGCGGGGGACACCCTGAAATGGTTGCCAGCCAATCGCAGGGCATACACAAACGAAAAACCATCCACGCTCACACTCACACCGTGGGACAATTTTGAGTGTTCAGTCAGCCTGCCATGCATGTTTTTGGAATGTGGGAGGAAACCGGAGTACCCGGAGAAAACATACACAGGCACAGGGAGAACATGCAAACTCCACACAAGAAGGCCTGGTGCCCGGAATCGAACCCCTGAAATCTACACTGTAAGGCGGACGTGCTAACTGTGCGGCCTTGTCTGCATTTTTCTTTAAAAAAAAATCAAACATTTAGTGTAAAAATAGAAAAGATATTCTGTGACTCGCTTCACTTCTAATCTATTTTTAATACTGTACTTTGTTTATCCTGCATTGGAATATTGGTTCACAGGTGCCACAAGTTGGCCAAGTCAATGTAACACAAATATGAAGCTATTCTCAGAAACGACACTTATCCAATTGAATATTGTTTCAGTGCTATTAAACAAATGAAACATGTTTTTCCAGTTTAAGTTTGGAAAGAAAAAAATGGCAATTGCTGAAGAGCCCAAATTCCTTTTTTTTCCTCTTGACTTTTTCCACAAAAAACTAATTTGAAAATTTCAGCCGTGTTTCTGATTTAGAATTTGGGGAGGTGCAATGGGGTGCTGGCATCCGGTCAGAGAAGTAATTAAGTAATTTAGAAATTACAGCAGTGTTTAATTTAATTTTGGAGGGTCACTGTACTACAGAGACAGTGGTTCGCCTTTTCTGTCCACAGAAAATGCTGACCCGCAAACCGTTTGACTGGGTTTTGGGGTCATATTTAATTATTTTTTACAGTTGAAACATGCAAAAGTTCAAAAATATATTCCACTAACGTGCAAGTCAAGCGCACCAATGAAAAAAAATCTATGTAGTGTATTCATTTGTGATGTGATGGTTTTTTTTGTTTTTTTGTTTTCATTTCTGCCTTCTCTTTATGGTTATGCATGGTGCCGCTTTGCACCTGCCTTTCAGACACGGTATTTAAAGATGCAAAATTAGCCATCTCAATTTCATCTCAGGTTTGACCAGCTTCATCATCTGTTTGCGCCAACAATCAACTTTGCCCCCATTTTTGCACACATAAACCTTTAGTCAATGAAGGCTCATTTGTTTTGAAAATGGCTATAAAATTTGCAAAGAGAACTCTATTTGCAGACTCCTTTAATATTGCATGCAACTTCCAGTATTTTTTAAACGTTGCTTTTGTTTAATCTATTTTTCTTAAACAGGATTTTGAGACCATTTCTCCAGAGTGCAAATATGCTATAAAAGGAGCTTTTCATCATCTGAAAGAATTAGGTGAACGACAAGGTAAATTATGTGATTTGTTCCCTTGTCTACTCAAAAATGTGTATCTCTCTCTCTCTCTCTCTCTCTCTCTCTCTCTCTCTCTCTCTCTCTCTCTCTCTCTCTCTCTCTCTCTCTCTCTCTCTCTCTCTCTCTCTCTCTCTCTGTGAGTGTGTACTCCTCACAAAAACTTAGGGACAGTTGGCTTTCAGGTGAAATTTCAGGACGGGTTTAAAATGTATTCGAACTTTTTTGAATGTGCACATGCAACTGTTAATTGTTTCAGTTTAGTTTTTGCACAAGTTGCTGATCTCTAATGAGGAGCTTCGCGGAAAAATTCACAACAGGGGTTTGTTTGATCATTGAACATATAAATGTCCTGATTCAGTTAGAGCTGGAGTTTAAACAGTAGTCCTCATTATGCAGATTTTGACATCATGAAACCTAGACGACACCTAACGATGGATCAACGGGACCTTGCCATTGTGATGCTTCAACAGGATGCTCTCAGACGGAAGTGGCCACTGATCTTAAAATATCACGAGTGTCATCAGCAGGTTGCAACAGAGATACCGAGAGACTGAAAGAGTCACAGAAAGATGTAGAAGTGGACATCCTTTGGCCACATCCCATGCTGATGACTGCTACATTGTGAACAATGCCCTGAGAAACCGGGTGATGAATCCGATTCAATTCCTGGCACGTTTAAGGGAGGTGCGAGGCACCCACATGTCACGTCAGACCATTCAAAACCGTTTACATCAGCGTGGCCTGCGTGCTAGACGACCTGCAAGGGTACCTGACCACACCACCGGGCACAGGCATCATCGTCTTGCATGGGCCAGGGAGCATTTACGCTGGACAAGTGACCAGTGCTGTTCTCTGATTTAAAGTCAATTCACGTCGAGCAGAAATGATGGCTGTCAATACGGCACCGGGAAAACATGCAAACTCCACACAGGAAGGCCGGATCTGGGATCGAACCCACGACCTCTGCACTGTGAAGTCGAAGCGCTAACCACTGAACTACCCGGCCGCCCCCTTCAAGAACAACACGGGCCTAATTTTATCTTCATGGACGACAATGCTCCAGCTCATCGAGGTTGCATCATCAGGGAACAGCTGTGGGAGACTGGTGTACCTCAGATGGAATGGCCTGCACGTTCTCCAGGCCTGAATCTTATTGAAAACTGTGGGATCAACCGAGTTGCCATGTAGAGGCTCAAAACTCCGCACCCCAGTACCTCAGTGACCTGAGGGCTGCCCTTCAAGTGGAGTGGGATGCCATGCCTCAGCTGACAATACGTCGACTTGTGAACAGCATGAGACGTCATCGTCAAGCTGTAATGGATGCTTCGGGGCACACGACAAGTTATTGAGACGTTGACATTTTTTTTGTTGTGGTGTACCCACTGTTGTTGTTACCTTTTGTTTCAATGAATTGTTTGGATTGAGGAAATCACCAGTGGATCTCTCTTCTTAAATGTCCAACTTTCATGATATGATATCACTGTAGCGTGAACTTTGTACATTTTGCATAAATTTCACCTGGAAGCCAAATATGCCTAATGTTTTGTGAGTAATATATGGTAGTTTAGACTTTAAATGTAAAAATGTGTAATGTTTCCTCTTGTTAACTCTGTTAGATTACAGTAAAATACAGTCGGCGTTCGCCCTGTGTAAGCGTCCATCATCTGTTCAGGACATCCACCAGCTAAATGGCTTTCTGAGGAATGCTTTCACGTTGATGGCCATGTTAGATTACCCTTACAGCACTCATTTCATGGGCAACATGCCTGCCAATCCTGTGAAGGTACAGGCTTGACATTATTTTATATCTTGTTAGGGCTGTCATCTCGTATATTAACGATTTCCTTTTTTTTTTTTTTTTTTGTCAGGTTGCTTGTGAAACCATGCTCCGTGGATCTGATCTACTTACTAGCCTGAGGGATACTGCAGGTATCTTGGAGATGCTCGTCGACGTAAGAGTGTATTACGTTGCCAGTTCTATGGATAGCATGTGGCTGATATAGCAGCTGTTGTGAAAGCGCTCTATAAAGAAAGATGTATTACTGTATTGTATTGAAACTGCTTTCATTCAGGCCTCTGAATGTTTCACTTTCCAGCCATTGTGTACAACTCCACTGGCTTGCTGACCTGTTTCGATGTCTCCAGTTTGTATGTGGAGTGCGCCGACCCCACTGGCTGTGGTCTCGGCTTTGACAGCATGGCCTGGGACTATCAGGTCATACAATCAATTTATGCACCACATTTGGATTTGGGTTGCAGAGATCCACTTTTCCATCCAGCCATTTTCAGCAGCAGTGGTTCTCAAACTTGTTTGCCAAGTACCACATTAAAAAAATATAGCATTAAAATACAGTAGCGCAGTAGGCTTAAGTGTTAATTAAATATTAGGCACTTCTTTTCCCAAAAGTACATAAGCCATTGTAACATAATTTGAACATTACCTTGAGGATTTACGTGTACTGTACATAACATAAATATGGAAAAATTAAAAATAGCCACTTCAATAATAATACAGCCCAGAACATTCGCTCTTTTGGTCAGCACTGTGTGCTCTCAAACCAGAAACATAATGGTGGCGCGACTTCGATCCCCGATTGGGTGGACGCTGCAAGAATAGAACACCAACAGTAATGCCAGATTACCTTGAAAAATTATTTGACCGATTACTTGAGTCTGGAAACAACGAGGCAAGATGAAAAGTGACTTTATGAGCTTAGTTCAGAATCTTTCTTAATTTAGCTAGCTTCTGCCTTTCCAGCTTCTTCCTATATATCCACTGACCCTTCTCTGCATCTCTCCAAACAATCTCAATCTGGCCTCTCCATCTTGAACTCTAAACCTTCATCTCAACATCTACCGTATTGGCCCGAATATAAGACGGCCCTGATTATAAGACGACCCCGTGTTTTTCAAGACTCAAGGTTGAAAAGAGACTTTTTGAACACCAAATTAATTTTTATACAGAAAATTACAGTACATCTGAAACAAATGATTATAACAATATATTTGAGAAAAAAAGCATGTTATTTTGCCTCATTCAAATCTAAAGTGCAAGCACATTTGTAAATGAATGGCTTCTGGTTTTTGAAATGTAAATTACATCATAACTTCTCTTCAGCTGCCGGTTAACCTGGCCGATCTTCGACCCACTTTTCTCCAGATTGTCGCTCCATTTCTCCATTTTCTGTTATCTCTTCTATTATTTTCTTCTTTTTCTTTCTTACCGCTATTTTTTTATTTTTCTTCTTCGTGCTACCGCTATTTTTATTTTTATTCTTTGTGACAGGGGTTCACTTTGGCCTGGGGAGTCAAGTTCAGCATTCGCTTCGATGATATCTGGCGCCATCTAGCGTCGTGAATGGGTATAATGTCTAGACCCCGAATATAAGACGACCCCCACTTTTTTAGTCTTATTTCAATGCAAAAAACACCGTCTTATATTCGGGCCAACATGATAATTTGTCATCTCCAGCTCTCAACAGCTGATCCCAGGTACTTGAATGTCTGGACTTTCTCCATCTGTATATTTCATGATTCCACTGGCCACGCTTTCATTCACAGACTTACTGTTTTGCTGCGACGGACTTCCACCTTTCTGGGTTCTCTTACACCTGCTCCCATTTCTCCGAACCAGTTCACAATGTCTGTGTCCTTTTCTCGTTCCATCTAGTGAATTACATCACATAGAATATAGTCTGTGTGCACCTGCCTCTGGGGTTCACCACTGCCATTTTCTTCCTTTTCAAAATCAACCATCGTTCCAAAATTTTCCTTCACACCATACTTGCCCATCACTTCCTCTTCACCTTTCTTACCTATGCGAACAGGCCCAATGAGATCCACTCGAATTATCACTCCTTCACCTCCAGTAGCGACTACTTTCAAAAATGTCATCCAACTCACTCCAGACCTTCCCCACCAATTCACATCCCATTTGTGGTTAATAACCGCTGACGCTTCTCATCACACCTTCAATTTCTAGTTTCACAACCATCGCCTTGTCTGAATCTTCTTTTACCTTGATACCATTCTTTGCAGGCTGTATCTTCAGAATCACCCCATGACATTCCTCTTCTTAATTCAGACTATGTTGACACTCTGAACCCTCTTCCATTGTTTCTAGCATTGCACTTCCATATTATCTCCTGCTCTGCAAAACCCTGAAACATTGTCAATCCTTCTCTTCTGCGTTGCGTCCCCCCCCTTTCGGCTTGACCAATAGTAACCCAATTTCCATCAGCAACCGAACCATTGTTGGTGGTTGTGAACACATGCGCTGCTGGATCAAACTGATATTGAAGTCAAGTTTGTGAATTGCGTGTCTGGTTTTGGATAGCGTTTTCTGCCAGATTATTTTATGACACAATCCTTACCATTTACACAAGCACAAGTAATAACCTGCTTGCAACCCCTAAAGACTGATCACCATATTATATTTCATATTGCTTTGAAAATAATGTTTTGTTTAAAGTGAAATCTTAAATTCCAGTTTTCTACTGTGTTGTAGGCATGCACGGAAATAAATCTCTGCTATGAGAGCAACAACATCACAGACATGTTTCCAGCAATGACCTTCACTGAGGAAGAACGCTTGCGGTACTGCTCCAAACGCTGGGGTGTGATCCCGCGACCAGGCTGGCTCAAAATCCAGTTCTGGGGTGATGGTGAGGACTGAAAAAATATACAATGTGGCCTATAAGTAAAGAGTGAGGTTCATTATGTTCCATAATTTATGCATTAAAATAAAAAAGCTGCAGGAGCTCATTCATAAGCACTCTGCTTTTGAAACTTGAGGTTCATGGTTTGAGCCCCACAGACATAAATGAATAAATAATTGCTAACTAGTGGCTTGAAAGATGCTAGTCTGCATCCTGACAACTCTTCAGCAGGACTTAGGCACGCAGTTAACATTTTTTTGCTATTAAACATTTTTATGTTTAATAGCAAAAATATATCCATGCTAAAGACATGAAGCTGTTGCTTTAGTAATTACTTATATGGTGCATCTACAAAGTGTTCAAAGCACTTCACTTGTTTCATATTTTATGTAACAGCTTTATTATAAAAAGAAAAAATAGGCAACAATTCAAGATTCAACACCCTGTCAATCATGGTTGCCAATACTTGGTTCATACAAATTCAAGCTTTTCGTGGACCGACAACCATTCACAAACGAAAGGTGGGGGAAAGGCTTGGGGGAAATTTTTAAATTTTTACTTTACATTGTTTTTTAGATAGCCAGTTTTAAAGAACTTTTTACTGAAAATCAAGGTAACTATAGAGAGTTTTATGAACATAGGAAGTCAAATTTTAAACCAAAATGAAAAACACCATCAACAGGGAAAATGATCGATTATTCAAAGTGCACCAAAAACAGAGTGCCGGTGCAAGCCGGTGACTAACGGAGATGGGCACTTTACTCCACTTTGCCGTTCCGTCGTCCGTCCTTTGTCCTGCGTCCATGACCTGGGTACCTTTCTGTCATCATACCCCCGTCCTTATTCACATGACAAGCATCCTCCATCCCCGTCCGTCCTTGTCCCCGCCCCCCACACTATGCCTCTGCGAACACACACTCTCAGAGTCGTGCACAGGGGACAGAGTGAATTTCCGAACACTTCCATAATCCAGCACTGTGTGATCAACTCTTTGAAATAACACTTCCTTTGGATACAATTTAACTCTTAAAAAAGTCAAATGAAATGACAATCAACTCCCGAAAAATATAACCTTGAAATTTTAGCACTCCAATTTCACTGTAGTTGTGGAGTTAAATGATGATAGTTGTGGACCGCTAATTGAAGATGCGTTTTGATGGCAAGACATGACGGTGTGTGTGCAGGCCAGCATATACTCTGCACTGCTTTGATTTCTATTTTGAGATAATCAGTGATCCAACTTTAATACAGTAACTCAGAGGATCAGCTCCTTCGCTATCTTCAATAACCACACGAATGTTGACTCTACGCCCACAATTTTTCAAGTTGTCAATGTGCTCCAACATGGCAGTAGTTTGTTTCTCTGGGCTCTTTACTCTAACCTGCAACCGAGTTGCGACCTCGACATTCTGTCTTCTGCCTCACGATCACAGGTTCCCGGGACTTGTATTTGTTAGGATTTTAACAGCAGCAAAACAGAATAAACTATTAGCATCGATACCCATGGTGGTATGATCAAATAATCTATCCATTCTGTATGGAGAATGTTCCAGTCTCTTCATCCTGTTAGAAAAGTCAAGCATTTCAAAAGTGGCAAATCCTTTTAAATTTTGGAAAAGGTGCCTGGTATTTTTTTTCAGCATCACTGTTAAATAACTTGCCCCCTTAGTTGTTTCTTGTCAATAAAACGGTGCGCGCGCGCACACACACACACACACACACACACACAAAATCTATCATACCAATTTTTGATGGGGAGGAAAAATATTTCATTCTGGACAATGTAGTAAAAGTGAAGCGCTCTGAATATGCTCCTAATGTGCAATACACAGTATGAGTGTTTTTTTTTAATAGACACAACAGACATGGATGTATTTGTGATCTAGTGTGTGCCTTTGTTTAGCTCTTTCCAGTGCAAGCAACATAATTTTCTCCAATGGTAACCTGGACCCATGGGCAAATGGAGGGGTAAGAAATTAGAAATATGAGAGACTTAAGTGAATTTTAAAACTAACATTTTTGTTTTCTTTAAGGTGCAGAAATCTTTAAGTTCATCATTGATCGCTATCAACATTGGTGGGGGAGCTCATCATCTGGATTTAAGGTAGGGCAAGCTGCTACCTTCACAGAAAGTTATAATAATAATAATAATACATTTTATGTATAAGCACCTTTCAAAACATTCAAGGACACGTTACAATCAAGAACCAGTTATCCATCCATCCTGCCATTATCCAAGCCGCTTATCCTCACTTGAGGGTCGCTGGTGTCCTGGAGCCTGCAAAAACAAACCAAAAAAAACAAAAAACAAAAGCTTAATGTCACATTTTTCATTAATCATATAGAGGGTCCAATGTTGCTGATCCAGCATCGGTTATTGAAGCCCGGAAGACTGAGGCAGACCTTATCACACAGTGGGTGGAGTTGGAGAGGACCAGAATACAACGGCTGCCCTAATAGTTAGTGTCTTGCTTTTTTTTTTTTTTTTTTTTTTGGGGCACATTTTTTACCTCTGGCTGGATTTTTAACATGTGTTTATGGATTGCATTATGAATACGCCCTGAAACGGTTCAGCTAAAGTGTTGCAAGGGCCTGTTTCAAAATAAAAGCCTCTAAAATATAAATAAGTGGACATTGATGCCTTTGATTTTAATTACATGGCTATATTCATTAGATGAAATTATTCCCTCATCATATTATTTCACGACATCACAGGTGAAAAACTCAAGGCCCGGGTGCCAGATCTGGCCCGCCACTTTGTTTTATGTTGCCCGCAAAAAGCAAATCAAAGATGTCAACTTTCATGCTTGCTAAAATCGCTACCAAAATTTCAAATTCTCATTTTGTAATAAATAAGAGTGATACTGTAAGCATTTTCTTGTTGCCAAACCCCTCATTACAATAACTTAAACAATAGATGAGTAAACCGTGATTCTTGACTTCTTTTCATGGTTTCAGTCATAACAGCCCTCCAAGGGAAACTAAAATCTGGCCCCTGACAAAAATGAGGTCGACACCCCTGCACTACCTGAATCAGGGAGTTTGATCGAATTCTGATCCGCATTTGATTCAAAGAAATAACCTCTGCATATCATCACTGTCAGTCGAAAACCTCTTTTGTTTTTTCACAACTCTTATTTGTCAGTCTCCCCTTAGGTCTTTTATTTTTACATACAGTATTATTGACCAATCTGAAGTGTTCGTATTGTCTTGTTTTCTTTTACGATGCAATGCTAATAGCTCAACAAACTGTATATGCCGTATTGTTTTCTGAAGTGACGGTTTTGGAAGTGCGAGGATTTTGACCTATGCCAGTGATATGCGGTTGCCCTTATACAGTACAGTATATTATTTCAGAGTCATCTGAAAAATGCCACTCGCCCCATCTATACCTCCCTCACCCCTCCCTGTTACCACACAACCCTTCCACGTCTGGGAGATACTGAGGTATCACATGTCACCCAGGACGTTTTGTGACGATCTGATGTAACATTTCAAAGTCAAATATCTGTATGTGGCTGGCTTAACCTCTGATTTCAAATTTCAAAAAGAATTCCCTTGCAATATCCACCATTAAGATAATCGGGCAGATGTGGTATTTCAATTTACAGTGACCACAACTGTAAAGAATAAAATAAATTGCAATTAAAGTATGCAAACACAGCGAAGGTATGGAATGAAAATGCATAACTTGGCTTGAATTATACATGATGTTTACAAGGTCAATATTTTGTTTCCATTCCCATTTTCTGATCCGCTTTATCCTCACAAGGGTCGCGGGGTGTGCTGAAGCCTATCCCATTGGTCTTCGGACAGTATGCTGATATACCCCGACCTAGTTGGCAGCAAATCGCAGGGAACACAGAGACGAACAACTATTCATGCTCACACTCACACCTAGGGACAATCTAGAGCAGGGGTGTCAAACTCAGGTCCTGGAGGGCCGCTGTCCTGCATGTTTTCCAAGTCTCCCTGTTGCAACACACCTGATTCAAATGAACAGATCATCAGCAAGCTCTGCGGAAGCCTGACATTGAACCTGTTCATTTGAATCAGGTGTGTTGCAACAGGGAGACTTGGAAAACATGCAGGACAGCGGCCCTCCAGGACCGGAGTTTGACACCCCTGATCTAGAGTGTCCCATTGGCCTGCCACTCATGATTTTGGAATGTGGGAGGAAACCCGGAGAAAGCCCATGCCGGCATGGGGAGAGCATGCAAACTCCACAAAGGAGCCGGAATCAAATCCTGCAACTCTGCACTGTGAGGCGGATGTTAGGGTTTGGATGTGACCTCAATAGCACGACAACAGGCAGGTATAGTTGAAGCCAACACTTGCCGTAGTTTATGAAAGAGTCTTAGCAAAGTCACTCAGTAAGAAGCACAAAGAAGCCACAGGGAAAATGTCCACAGGAAACGAAACCCTCACCCAGGGAGAAAACTGGGACTTACTTCAACGCTCAGGGGGAAGCACGAGGAATCCACAAGGGACTGTCCACACATAGAACAAGAAACTGCAGGTGATCCCAACAGAGGTCACTGAGGTGGTGACGGCACGAACTTGCACTGAGGAATGGTTTGTGAGCCAATTTATACCAGTCCAAATGAGCAGATTGGCAACAGGTGGGTGTTGAGCTGACGAGTATCAGGTGTGAGGTGCAGAGCACCCTGGCTGAGGAGGCTGCCTGGCTTGCCCCTCCCTAACAGCGGACATGCTAACCAGCCAACCACTGGGCCGCCCTGTGAATATTTTGTTCTTGACAAAAAGAATACAGTGTTCAAGAATGTAGTGATCAATGTGCAGGGATGAATCGGTGTAGGAGGGAGGGAGACAAGAGTGTCCTAAAGCACTGTTTAGATGTAACAGTCAAACATCTTGCGGAAAAAAATCTGTTCCTGTACTTCTCAGAACGCTCTGTAGCCTCCTGCATGAGGAGGGGGGATGGAAGGGGGTGTGTGTGGGCTGGGTTGGCTCCTTGATGATGCCAAGAACCCTCTTTCTGTATCTGCTAGAGAACACGTCTGTGATTTTGGGGAGGCCATTCCCCACAATCTTCAGAGCAGCCTTTCCCATCCTTTAAAAAGCCGTCCTTTCTGCAACCAAGTAGCCGTTGTGCTACACTGTGATGCTGGAGAACTGGACGCAATGTGCGTGCGGCTGTCTGTTCCTCCTGAAGCCCACCATCATCTCCTTGGTCTTCTTCACAGTGATGCAAAGCCATCCACCGGATGTTCTATCTCCACTCTGTTGGTGTTTCTGCTTGGCTCTCGACAAAGGCGGACGCTTTTTTTGCTCTGCTCCTGCTCCTGTTCCCCCCCTCCTTGCTTGCCACTCAGTCTATGTGCTGTCCTTGTGCTGTCTTTTCCTAGCCTCCGCCGTATTTTTCATCCTAAAAAAACAAACCATGGAATTGGTTGGCTGGTCTCTTGATGCAATCGACAAAATTTTTCTCGATGAGAAGAGCAGGCAGTGGGGAGCCTGCTTGCCCCTCGGGACATTTGCTGCTGGGCACACCTAGATCCATGGAGGAAGCGGAGAATGGTGTGCCTGTCAATACTGTCCGTTGAGGAGGAGGAAGACATCTACATTATCGGCCTTCTGATAGCAGGTATGCTGCAGTTTGGTGTTAGCAGTTTCCTGTTCTATCGCAAAATCCAACCGACGGGAGCAGCTTTATTGGAAGTGAAGAAGCTGCCGGTCATTCTCGATGGTCTAGCGCGAATGTCCAACACTCAGACTCAAGCGGTGACTGAGCTCAACCGCAATTGCGGTTCTGGAGCGTCTCCGTACGATCGACAACAGCATGGAGAAGTTGGAATTCTCGCTTCGAAAAGGAATTGAGGATTTGGCTGATCGGCGCCAGTGAAGGGATACAGCCACGGACTCAAGGCCACCTGAAATTGTTGGCGGCCGTCCCTCCAAAACAAACAATGCTATTTGGACCTCTTTCCCCTGGATGGAAGGTATGCATGGAAGCTAGTGCCCCCACCATCACCCCCTCCTTCTCGGCCATGGACTGATAAGCCAGGACTGTCTTCATGAGCAGACCTTGACGAAGCAGCTGCGGCCTGTTCACGCATACACAACCAGACAATCACACACGCATACACATCCTTATCATCACCGTCTTCATCGTTCCTATTCTTTTCCCCCGCAACGTGGAATGATCTGCGGAGCGCTCGGTGGACCGTGCAGCTAGTCAGACGGGCCGCGTCGCGGTCGCCCCCTCTCTCCTCCCCCTCCCCCTTCCCATTCATCCGCCCCTTCATTACATGTTATGTCTTGTGACTTGTTGTAACTGTCATATGCTTATTTATGTGCTCGGGTCTTTTTTTTTTTATCCTGGACTTAAATTATCCTCAGAAGAGGATAGTTCGAGCGTGTTTTTTTTCCCCTCTCCCTACCTTGTGGTTTCCTTTCTGAACTCTGACTGTAAATTTCCCCATTGCGGGACAAATAAAGGCTTATCTTATCTTACTGGGACTCATCATGATGATGCATCCCACTATCACTGTGACTTCCGCCAACTTCACCAGATGACAGCTGTGTAATTTTGCAGGACAGTCATACGTCAGTAGCGTGAGCAGGGGGTGAGCTAATCACACAGCCCAGGGAGGAGCCAGTGCTGAGGGTCATGGATGAGATGGTGGTGTGGATCCTGACAGTCTGTGGTCTGTCGGTCAGGAAGTCCAGGAGCCAGCTCTCCAGTGATAGACTCAGCTCAGGAATGTTCAGCTTTCACACCAGATTCTGTGGGATGCGCAGGAGAAAATCCAGGAACAGTAGGCGGACGTAGAAATTCCTGCTCTCCAGGGGGTGAGGGCTGTATGTAACACTTAGGAGATGGCATCATCTGTGGAAAGGTTCTTCCTGTCGGCGTACCAGTGAGGGTCTGCACTGATGTCGATGTAGTCTCTGATCTGCGTCATCATCAGCCTCTTAGAGCCCTTCATGACTACCGATGTGAGGGCAACTCGCAGATAGTCATTCAGACGTGTCACTGTAGAGGTCTTGGTTCTGGGGATTTTGAAGGCAGTCTTGAGGCAGGTCAGAACACGCTATTTGGAGTGAGGTGTTGAAAATGTCTGTTAGAACCTTGATCAGCTGGTGGGCACAGTCCCTCTGTCGGCCGCCCTAGGATATTGTCTGGGCCTTCATGTTTGACGGAGCGAAGATGAGGGACGTATTATCGGCTGGCGGTGTGAGTCTGATGTTGCGGGGTGTTGTTGGGATCCTCAAATTGGACGAAGAACCGGTTGAGGACATATGGCAGGGGGGGTTTTTTTTTTTTTTTTTTTTTTTTAGCATTGTGCATCCTCTGTGTTGTACTTTGTGATGCACTTATTGTTTTTCCACATGCTCCAAGAGTCATAGGAGGTGAAGTGGTGCTGGATTTTCTGAGCATGAGAGTATTCTTGGCACTCCTGAAGTGCTGATACCTTGTGTGCCCTTAAGGCAGCATCTCTAGCACTTCAACAGTGTCCTCACCTCTGCGTTCAGATAGGGCTTCTGGTTCTGGTAGATTGAAATGGTCTTGGTGGCAGTGACATCATCAACACAGTTTGAGATAAAGCCCAGAACGGATGAAGTGTAATCCTCCAGGTCCGCTTCCCTGAATGTATGCACACAGTCCAGCGTGTTATCCCCCAGTGTTGCTATGGCGACATCCAAGTGAAAACTTGGCAGAGTGTCTGTCAATTTGACGTGGTTAAAAATCACCTACAACCATATATAATTCCTCTGGTGCTTGAATTGCACAGAGCTAATAGTGTCATTAAACTCATGTAGCACCTCGTTCATGTTAGCTTTAGCATGCGCTCTGGAAGTGGTGTAAACAGCAGTGACAGGTGTGAATTTACGAAGCAAAAAGTGTGGCCAGCATCTAACCATCAACTGTTCAATTTCCTCGAAGCGTTGTGGGGTTTTACAAATGTCCCTGTACTCCGATTGCCTTAATGTCTATGTGTGTCCGCATTTTTGGGAGGGAGGAGAGAACAGACAATGTGGATGAACGCAGAGCGTCATCCAAAGTAAAGCTTGATGTTTTCTAGGTGTGTTGCAACCACATTAAATATTGACATTGTTTATTTTTTGTGCATTTTTAATTACACCTGGTACTAAAAATGTCAGGTTTTCCCTTCTTACAGTGATATATCCTTTGCACTGTTGCACCGTCTGCCTTGTGATTTAGCAGCACAACCAAGCACTTTCTGCACAAGCTTCACTTTGAACGAAAGGCTTTCAGAATTGTTTGTTTACATTGAATTTACTATATTTCCCCTGTTTGTTTGGGTTTTTTTTTTGTTTGTTTGTTTGTTTTCCAGAAAGAGGGAATCGGTGCACTGGAGCGGAAAAATGTTATTCTATTGGATTCCCTGGACACACGTACTTGAAAAAGAATTGTTTCTTAATTGCTTTGGAGTTGTAATATTAAACAACATATTAAAGTAAAAAAAAAAATAAATTCCAGAAAACGAGCACAATGAAGGTGTTGTATTTTCTGAACAGTACCTTGAAAAACTTTTTTTCCAGTGATCATTTTATCTGAAAAATAAAGAAAATATGGGGAAAAAGGAATACCGGTATACAGTATATCCATTTACCAATAAACTTTACCTGAATCATGGACTGGCTTCGTACTCTTTAATCTAGCAAAAGAAAATGTACCAATTTGATGCTGCATCGACCTTAATAAAAGGTGTCAGTATCTGCGATATCGGCTCTGGAGTTTCTTGGTATCGGCTCAAAATGAAAATATGCTCTATTGCACACTGCAACTGGCAAAGGCTGTGCGTGAGCTGAAGCCTATCCCATTTGGAAAAGAGACATTGTACACCCAGGGCTAGTCACCAGCCAATCACAGGGCACATGGAAACAGCTATCCATACACTCCCAAATTCACACCCAAGGACAATTTAGAGTCTTCAGTGAATGACGTTGTGTTACCATGGTGGAGGTGACAACACAGCACCGATAAGCATGCAGGTGTTCTGGATGAACAGGTTCTACTCTCTCGTGCTACTTGTGTCCATACGTTGTAATTGTCTTTGGCAGGAGTCATGTGGACAGGTGAATTCCAGAGCTTTTTTTTTTCCTCTTCAGGTGCTCTTACAGGAATGTGGTTAAATGACTTCCTTGTTGCAGGAGGGTGGAGACTGAGCTGGAGACCTGTTTCAGTAATTCTCACTTCCCTGTTTACGCGGAAAGAAAGCACAAGGCAGCAAGAAATTTTGATTCGGAAGTCAGCTCTTCACACAAGAAGGTAAAAATCTTTGATTAATGTGTTCAGTTTTCCAATTGCCGAGATGACATGTCAATTATGCACACAGTGAGGCAAAGACTATTCTCTTGTTGATTCTGAAAAGAAGCAATTACTGTCGGTGCTGTGATGTGTATGCTTTCGATAATTATTATTGTCGATATAAGTTATGTAATGTTCAAACGCGAAGAAGGAAAGTGTGTGCATCCCTTGGGTAGCTCACTTTGCCATATGATGTATTCGTATAAATATATAAACTACAACAGAGCAATAATTGTTTTCCATTGCTCATCCTGTATTTGCATTATCTTTATTGGGTGTCTTTTTTCGATGTTATTGTCTTTTTCGATCCTAATATCAAATGCAGATATAATAGTTTGATCCAGCTGTTCCCACTAAGCGTTCATGTCTGGTTTAGTTCCTTTGCTGTAATTTTGTTGTTGTTAAGTAATCTCCTCTACGTGGAGACACTTATCATGATAATGAGTTCTCATAATAATTTCAATTCACGATTCAACAACAGGCGCCCCAGTGGATGAGTGGTTAGCGCGTCGACCTCACAGTGCAGAGGTACCGGGTTCAATTCCGGGCTCAGGCCTCCGTGTGTGGAGTTTGCATGTTCTACCCGGGTCTGCGTGGGTTTCCTCCGGGTACTCTGGTTTCCTCCCACATTCCAAAAACATGCATGACTGAAGGCTGACTGAACACTCTAAATTGTCCCTAGACGTGATTATGAGTGAAGATGGTTGTTCGTCTTTGTGTGCCCTGCGATTGGCTGGCAACCGGTTTGGGGTGTCCCCCGCCTACTGCCCAAAGACAGCTGGGATAGGCTCCAGCACCACCTGCAGCCTTCGTGAGGATAAAGCGGATCAGAAAATGGATGGATGGAAATAATTTAGTTTTGGTTTTATCTGCATTTATTTGAAAGAGAAAAGAAATGTCACTTTTATTTAGAAAGCAATTAATGCTTACATGTTTACACATCTGGTTGAGTGTTTTGTTACAATATCAATAAAAAATACCAATGTGTTTTCTAAAAAATAGTTTTTCTTGTCTTTCAAAAACATAATTTCATTTAGACAATCATACTATGTGGCCGAGGATATGCGACATTTTATTTTGCACTTTCAAAATTCTATAACATTCCTTAGAAATGACAATGTTGCATTTGGTGCATTAGGGCACCATGTTGTTGAGTTTCCCTGTCATAAAGCGTACCAAAATAATTTGGACGGCCAAGTTTGTCTCCGAATTTAGTAGTGTATTTTTTCTGATAGGGGCGGCCCGGTGGTCCAGTGGTTAGCGCGTCGACTTCACAGTGCAGAGGTACCGGGTTCAATTCCGGCTCCGGCCTCCCCGTGTGGAGTTTGCATGTTCTCCCCGGGCCCGCGTGTGTTTTCTCCGGGGACTCCAGTTTCCTCCCACATTCCAAAAACATGTATGGCAGGCTGATTGAAGACTCCAAATTGTCCCTGGGTGTAAGTGTGAGCACGGATGTTTGTTTATCTCTGTGTGCCCCGCCTACTGCCCGAAGATGGCTGGGATAGACTCCAGCACCCCCCCGCGACCCTTGTGAGGATAAGCAGATCGGAAAATGGATTGATGGATTTTTTTCTGATCGACTTGGATTTTATTTCGATTTGATTTTGAAGCCAAACAGAGATTGTAAAGAGGGCTAGGATTTTTTTCTTGGTGTTTCTTCATGGAAGCAAGATGTAAAAGGTGACACCTCCAAATTATAGACTGCACTTTAAGAGCACTACTCAAGGACATCATCTTCGTTCGCACGGTGACAAGAAGATGCTAGAATGCTAAACCATGAGAATAAAAAGAGGAGACATTTATGTTCAGAGCGACTAAATACTGGTTTTATAATAATTCTAACTTAAAATGGTAATACAGTGTTAACCTTTGGAATGTTATCACGGTTTCAGCGGTGGACCATTTAATTGTGATTCTAACGGACATTAAAAGAGCATAAAAACATCTTTCTAATGTTTCAAAACTAATCATTACGCTAAAATGACGAGGGGTTTAGATTACTGTACATCAAAGTGGTCGACTCAATAGAATAGACTAAGGCAAAAGAATATTATTTCCCTTTGCTGCCAAAATGTCCTTGATCGATGAAATACATTGTGAAACTGCTCCCTTAATCTTCGCCACTCATCCTGTTTTACACCAGTACCCTTCACTGTACATGAGTACAAAGATATAAAAGATGGAATGTTAATCAAGCGCTCTTTTTGCCCTCAACAGTCAGAATGCTCTATACGGAGTTACTGCAATTGTGGAATGAGTCAGTGCATGCCATGGACAAGAAGGACTGGCAAGGAGCTCTGCAAAAGCTGGAACAGATCACCGAACCGACATCTCGCACTCTCTTCAATGCCGCATCAGCACATCTGTGTCTGGGACAGCTGGAGTCTGCCCTTGAGGTGAATTGCATGCTTTGGTATATACAGTAGGATCTTGTAAGAGGAAACCTGATTAACATACACATATATACATACAGTGTACACTGGAGTTACTGTTGAAACCAGACGTCTTACTGGCTGACTTGAAGCCAAACTAAACTTCACCTGTTCTAGGTCAATTAGGATTAGCTACCAAAAGTATTTATATTAGCGAAATGCCATAATCTGAGAATTTTTGTTTCATTACTTTCTTCAAAGTCAGAAGTTTAGATACAGTTTATTATTTGGTACCAATACTTTTAAACTGTATGTCTTGGGTAAAAGCGATAGATAGCCTTTCATTAGCTTCTAAAACGTTTAGTCTGATTTCATGTCAGTGAGAAAAAACACAGTTCTATTTTAAAGGGATCGTCAACTCCAAATTTAAATGTCTTCTCCCACTAGTCTACACATGGATTTCTGATTTTGTGGAAAATGAATCAAGCAACAAAAGCCACCTATTCAGGGGCCGGCCATTTTGCCAGTTGCTGTCCATTTAAAATGACATCACAGTTGCGCAGGGCTCATTTTAGCGTCCAATCGCCGCCGACCTGTTTTCTTAGTTTAGTCATGTTACGTTTGGAAGTCACATAATCGTAAAATCTTTCATCTAAATTAATTTGTACAAAAATTAAAAGGAAAAACAAAAGGCCAATGAAGGGGTGCATCATTGCTCCCCTGCCGCAGAGAGCACATCTCAGCGGCCGTGAGTGAACCCACAACCCCCTGGAACCATGGGCATGGATCACATAGTTTATTTACACAATGTTTATTTTGGTTTATTTCACGACAATAATTCACATCACTTACACTCACACTGGTTCTCTGCTTAGTGAGGTGTCGAAAACAGACGTGTTTCAATCTTTGTGAAGCTAATTTTAACAGTCTTGCAGTTTCACACAATTAGTTTCCATTTCCAACTGTCACCTATCTTAACATGAAATCTTGTCCCAAACGTCATGCAGAGCTATCCAAGCTGTGAATCTAACAAGTGGTGGAAGATTAAAAATACCTTAACTTGGAGCTGAGCAATGTGGCAGATTGCTGCCTTTGACACATGGTTCAAATCAAAGTCAGGAACACCAACATCCAAATTGGTATGCGCGCCCCTAATTCCAAGACACTGCTTGTGTTACCAGGTACCAAATCCCTATAAAAAAAAAATAAAAAAAAAGTGGGATGCATCAGGAAGGGGCATCTAATGTAAAAACATCACTGTGGCAAGACCTGACGAGAGGAAAATCTCACCAATAACAATAATGATCATTTTTTTTGTATGGCACTTTTCTAGATACTGAAACTCACTTTATAGGAGGTACAATAAAACACACAAAGCACCAAGGGTAGAGCATAGAGCGGTTCAGATAATGGATGGATGGATGGATGGATAATTTCGGAGGTGACTTCACAAAACTTTGCAAATTAGACATTTTTGTGAACCAGACAACCAGACACATCAACAGTACTCACCAACTGGCGGTCTGGGTTATTGGCACGAATCACACCCCTCTATCTTCAAAGAAATCGAACCAACCGGAACCTAGTCTTCATGCAGTCTCATATGTCCGGGTCTTATGCACTCGAAACCAGTGGACGAATCCCTGGAGGGTAAAATGGAAGGTCTACCCACTCTTCATTGCTGCCTAAACTAGAACACCACAAGCCCCCTATTGAAACTCGCTGTTCAGCTTACAGAGGAGGACTCCAACCTTTGACGAAACCCAGACAAGGCCCAGAGTGAGCACAAATGCTACACTGCAGCTAACTAAATTGGCCTGACCCGAAACATTCCCTCAACAAAAGTTTGCAAAAAGAACCAACCAAACAAATACTAATCAAAATGACATACAACAAGACACACAACCGCCCTCCCCCCGACACAAAATACACAACACCCAAATTAGTCCAAAGTAAACTATGTTGGAATGCATCCATTGTTAGAAAGAGGGACTACCACCTTGGTCTGCCATTCCAGAAGCGCAGTCCCTGATGTTCACTGAAATCATTCACTGCCGTGAACTTTTGTATTCATCAACTGGAACCCAACCGTTTACTGCTCCCGACGAATATGCAGTGTTTCTCAAGTACCTTTGTCAGTGAGTAGGAGTGGAAGAGGTTCTCACCCAGCTTTTCTGTGAAATTCAGATTTGGAAACCACTTTTATGTCAAACAAATCCCTGTAGATGTAGGCTTTGCATTGCAGTCGAGATTAAAGATTTAGGCGGTGAATCTTGGCTTGTCATGTTGATTATACGAAAGCCACGTAGAAAGTTTGTCACGTTGCGTGGTGGTGGTGGACCCCAAAAAGCAGGCAGGAGGGAGAAGCAGGTTGTACTTGAAGAATTGTATTGATAAAAACACAGAAAACTAAATCCAAAACAAGGTCCTAAAAACAAAACGAAGCCAAAGTATCAAACAAAAACCATGACTGAAGCTCAAAACTAATAGTAACAGAAACATGACCTAAACATCATTACAGAGCAAACATGACAGGAACCAATAAATAATGACCCGACACGGAGTGGTCGTGCCGGGAGTCCTTTTAAAGCAGGGGTCCCCAACCGCCGGTCCGCGGACCGGTACCGGTCCGCCGGGCATTTGGTACCGGGCCGCACAGAAAGAACTTGCCTTAATTCCGTTTTATTTATTTCGGAATACGAAAGATGTTTTATTTTGAAAAACTACCGGATTCTCCGTTAGATCCGTCTGTGTCACGCTTGACACACGTCAGGCCACGCTTCTCCATCACGTGACCGATTACTTCAAAACAAAACGCAGGAGCTCGCAAAGTGAGTCGAAAAAACTGCTGGAGATCGCAAATCACGGTGGCCTTAAAAGTACGTTCGAGACAACTGGATTAAAGTTATGGCTGAATACTCTGAGATCGCCACAATAGCACTGTTGCTATTTCCGACATCCTACCTGTGTGAGGCGGGGGG